GCATGCAAAAGTCATGAATTTTGATTCTTTAGTTCCCTGTTGTGGGAAAGCATTTTCACGTACTCGTCCTACAATCGAATCCATCAATTTCTCAATTCGAGATGTCTTATAATAGTGTCGTGTTGTCCATGTACAAAAGATATAAAGAAACATATAGTGGAAAAAATTAAAGCTTATTTGAGTAAGAGTTAAAGGATCATCAAAAGAAAATGAAAGTGTTATGTCGGTAAATCGTAAATGTACAGCAAAATGACTGACTGACTGACACAACACGAAATTCCTAGCATAGCCCATGCATTCAAACCCCAAAGACTACATCAACTTATGAATTAAAAACAGAATGCTATTGATGGAGTATATAGTTGAAATATTAAAATATAACCTAGAAGATAAATATGCATGCTGTATGTTCATAATTATCTGCAAAATCTTGAATTAGTAACTACAGAAGCCAACTTTTACATAGTAACCTTCAAGACGAAGCATACCTTGGTGTCCAACATTATGGCCACAACCTTCTCTACAAACTGAGCATTATATTCTTTGACCAGATCAATGGTTTTCTGGTGAGAAGCATGGTCCCCGTGAGACATATTTAAACGCGCTACGTTCATTCCAGCTTCAGCCAGTCTCCATATCATTTCACGTGAGCTGCTGGAAGGACCAATTGTACACACTATCTTTGTTTTTCTTCGATCATTTAAATTAACCAGTGCCAGTCCCTGACCATAATCACCAGACTGAAATTCAATAAAGCATTTAATATCACTTTCGAATATACATCTATAAGTATAATAGATATCAACGTGTATATAAGAATCAATTTCTAGAAATCACTACATATTCTCACATTTTCTAATATTTCCTAATAGAAACCCAAGTACACCCTGAAATTCAAAGCATTTTTCTGTGCATCAAAATTAGGTTAAACGTTGGCCAAATTTTTCTCGTGGAATCCAATTTCCACTTACTAAATACTACTTTTGTCCTATGATAATCCATCACCGCGTGTTCACAAACCTACTTATTTACCAGAACATCCATGGATTCCCGCCAAATTCCAATGTGTGAAACTAAAGTTTTAATTTTTTTTTTCCAGATCTCATAGAAATTTACCAATTTCATAAAATCATTTTAATTTAAGAAACCCCATTTCATTTTCCATATATATTATACATGCACACACAGAAAAGGAGAGATTCATTTAGCAACTGATACTATCACTTAAATATACATGCAATTACTAACGTGTTTCTATGTGCAGCAATCCCTCATCCTAAAATTAATTTTAATCTCTTCTACTTGAATATATAAAAGGGAAGGACTTACAGATATTGCAGAGTCACTGGTAACATCACTAGAATCAACTTTTTTCCTCTTCTCACTTATGCCTCGGAATTGGTCAATAATATTGGCGGATTTAACCGCCAAGTTCTGTCTAGTGCTGATTGTTTTACGGGTCCAGAGACAGAATAATTGATTGATGTTGTTCGTAGAAGACAGACGATTCGGATTTGATTTTACGCCCGATATGGACATCCCAGTTGATAGATTCATCGTCTTCGCCAATAAAATAATCAAAACTGCGTTTTCGATCAAAAATGGATTCGTAATCAAACCTGTGTTTGTGATGTAATTGCTATTTAGTGGGAATTTTGGAGTGAATTTTGGTTGAATTAAACAAGAACCAAGTGTAAGAGCTGCAGCATGTGGATTGAGTACAGGTGGAGTGGACAAATATGTGTCTTATTTGTGAAAGAGACTTCCTGGTTTTTGGCGCGTCTATGTTAATCTCTGATGCTGTCCACGAAACCCGGGGTGCACCAGGCCACTTGGTGAACCATGGTGGCTGAGTGGGTGCTTGATTTTTTTATTACTTCGAAATATTTAGAGCAGAGCCCTTTTTTAAAAAAAAAAAATGTAATTTTTTTCCTAAAAAATTTTTATTTCATCAAATTTTAGTGTTTGATATTCATTTGACTTTGTTTTAAATGAAAATTGTCCATTGAAGTGAATTTTTTTTATAATTGATTATAACATTTATTTTCATTGCAAAAAAAAAAAAAAAAGGCAGCAGCAACAGCCTGGAAAAACTTTTCTCACCAAAATGGTGGGAAAAAGTTTTTATCAATTTCCAAGAAAATGGGTCACGTGCTCACCCCAAGTGGAAAACCAATTCTCAAGAAAATTATACCCATCAAACAACTAAAAAGGTGGAAAATGAAAAAAAAATTCCAACTTTCAAGAAAAATAGAGGCTATCAAACAGGGCCAATATGTTATTGAGCACCATTGCTAGAACATTTTCTTATACATATTTAGTAGGAATTGAGAAAATTGATATCAACCTAGGATAGGATCATAGGAATGCTCTATGCCCTCCATTCAAAGGCGACAAAGTTATAATAGGACAACGTGGCCTAATTTGGAACTAAAAAGTTGGCATAAGCGAGTTAGGACCTTGAGAGCAACTAAGTGAGTTTTAGAGAACACTTGTAGTAATTTTAATACATTAATGTATATTTCTTCTCTATTATTATCATGTTATTTTCCAATTTATCATTTCTTGTCTTGATGAATTATTGAGCATACTTATTTGTTGAACCACCTGATTTAAGAACTAAGCGGTTAAACATGTAGATAATACTTAAATAACATCCATTTGACCATATCAAATAACTTACGTCCCAACATAGGTTTTAGGATGAGTTTAATATTTTTTTCGCGTCGACTTCCTTGAATCTTTTCTTCTATTTTTCCAATTTTGCCAAAAATACAATTCTTTAACAATCTTAGCTGATTCAGCACAAATTGTAAGCTCGCCAGGCCTTAATTTATGGGTTATAGTTTCATCAATTTTTAGTAGCTTTATCAAAGAAAATTAGTGGGGAGTCCAAACTAGGTCACTGCCAATTCAATCTATTGGTAGCTTTGAAATGTTTGTAAGTTTTAACTCCATCAATCGACATAATTATTTGTTTGTTCTTTGTACTAAACACATTAATTCGCTAGTTTCCGTATCAATGTTATAGTTAGTAGCT